ATAATCGTTCGTTATTTGGGGAACTGTCAGCCCCTCTCTTAACGTTATAATAATTGCACGGATATAAGTTGTACAAAATTTAGTTCGCAGCATAGTTACTATGTATTGTTGCTATTGGAGTTTCAAGGTAAGGGATACGCCATATTACAAAGTATACCGACCATCAATTTTACAACAGATTCATAAACTTAACAGACACAATTTTTTCTAAAAATGAAGTTGAATTTCTTGAAAAAGGTTTCAACTTTAACTTACAACACTCGTACATTAATAGAGAATTAGACTGTTTAGGGATCGATTGTGAATTAGCAATTAAGGACATTAAAGATTCTAATTTAAATAAACATGTATTAGAGAATATAATAGATTAAATTAATAGATAACAACAAACACAAAGAAATTTCTCAAATGTCACTAGTTAAAACTATCAAAAACGGATTTTCTGAAAATAACACAATATTTGCACGTGAAGATAAAGGGAAGACAGTCATAGCTATCGATCTTCCAGGATATATTTCAAAAACCAACAATTTTCTTAAACCAGAATTTTTCCAATGTATCAAACACGATCCTACAGAGTTATATCAAAGGCAAGTCAAGGATGTAATTACTAGCTCCACACTATTTAGTGACAAAGACAAATATTTTTTAACAATTATGAATCCACAACCGCCTAAATTATATTCTTTAGTTAAATTACATAAACAAGATATGCCTATTAGACCAGTCGCGTCTTATGTAACAGCTCCAGCAGTTAAACTCACTACAAAATTAGTAAATATTTTTAAGTTCCACACAGATTTTAAACCACAATTTGGAATAAAAAATTCTTCTCAATTAATCAACAAAATTAAAGATATAAAAATCCCTTCTAACGCAACACTATTGTCTTTTGATGTACAAAACTTATTTAGATTTTACTCTAACTCGGAAACAGGTTAACCCACTGGTGAAACAAGATTTATTAGATTGCTTAATACTATCTTTAGACCAAAATTATTTTGAATTTAATGGACAGATTTATATATCTAAAGAAGGTTTGATTATGGGAAACCCACTTAGTCCTTTGTTAGCCGAGATTTTTATGGATAATTTGGAAAATATTATACTAGAACATCCTTTAAGTAAAAGTTTTTTATGGTCGTATAGATACGTGGATGATATCTTTGCTTGCTTCGTTAGAACGGACAGACACTTGAATTCTTTTTTAAATTACATTAATTCATTACATAATCGTATAAAATTCTATTAACTATTACAAAAATTAGATTTTTCAGTATATCATAAACCTTCACACACGGACACAGTCATACATAACAGCTCAAATCACCCTTATACACACAAAAATTACATCAAAGAACTTAACATCATTAAACAAATTGCACTGAACAACGGCTACAATCCGTCCGTTACAGATAAAATTATAAATAAAAAACAAATACAGACAACAGTAAACAATTACATACATAGGAGAACCTAGTGAAAAAGTTTCAAAACATTTGTTAAAATGTGGTTTAAAAATAGCTTTCAGAACTAACAACACAATAGGAGAATATTTAAAAAACAATAAAACGAAATGTCCAAAATCCCAAAAATCAGGTGTCTACAGGTTGAAATGTGGATCTTGTCCTAAAATTTATATTGGACAAACAGGTAGATCCTTCAAGAAACGCATTAACGAACATAAAAGAGCGTTTAAAAACAATAGTTTAGATTCTAATTATGATACACACTTAAACACAGAAAAACACATTTTTGACGACAATTTTGATATTTTACGTACAGCCACAAAAAGTAGAAAATTAAATTTATTGGAAGCCATTTAGATTAACAAAATGAGACATTTAAATGTATTGCTTAATGATCAGTTAGATTTAAATACCTCTCCTTTATTTAACTTAAATTCTCACAACAACATTAATTAAGGTTTTATGATCATTTTTCGGTATATATGGTAACAGGTAGTTTGTAAATATTACATTTGATAAAGACACGGTGTTGTCGAAACAATTGTCATGTCATAATACAGAATTTCGTGAAAATTTTGATACGCCATATGGTGGTCAAATAATAGGTCTTTTGGTAGTCGATAAATTATTGTGACTGAATTTTTGCTTGCAAAGAAGTTGCGTTGACATATTTGTGTGGTCAGTGTTGTGTTCATAATGACCAAGCAAGTGTTAGTTAATTACAATAAAAGCTTCTCGTCTCCCTTGTATGGAGCAAATACAGTTTTAACTTCCTGAATTGTCCTTCAAATTAATCCCATTCAAATCTAAGCTTGCGTCTGTTAAACAATGAGATACGTACTAGAAAGAGGAAAATTTCTGTAATGATCACTCAAAATGAAAACTGTAAGGGATAGAAACTAACCAAGTACTTTCTATATTCCTGATCCTCAAGCGTAGCAAGAAAGCTGTAGAAAACTTATCAGAAACCTCCTCAGCAATAAAGCAGAAACTAGCATTTCACTAGTCAGGCAAAAAATATTGGTTTCGTTTGTTGTGTGCCCAATATAAGGATCGGATAGCATGCGAATATTGGAAACCCATTTGGTTAAATAAGGCAAATTTTTCATAATTTCATGAGAATCTTAAATATGAACGCAAAATGATTCCTGCGTGAATTGTTTCTGAGAAACTCGACAAAACATAAAAATTGAATTTTAAGTTGTATTTTGTAAAGTCCAAAATATGCCAAACTTGACCTCGGGATTAGTAATTAGAACACTTTTTAAAGAAAATGATGATGACATAAATGGAAACATTTTTTTCATTTGTTTTTGAGGTGTTTCAAGGTTTTTTAAATTTTCTTACGGGCGCTTTAATAAATATTTTCGTTGTTAGGTAGAGCATAAATATGCCTTTTAAATGATGTATGATAAGGCGTTCTCGTGATCTCATCGTTATATTGTTATATTAAATGTATTTTTATCGTTTTATGACGATATGACGAAATTTGTTTTTTTTTTTTGCGGAACACGAATTCCTTGCTTCCGGATTATAAACATTTTGTTCAACTAAATAAAATTAAAGGCAGTTCCGAATAACAAAATTAACTAATTTGGCAAGGCAAGGCAAGGAAAGGGTTATCCTATTCGGAAATCCTCCTTGTAAACGTATTATTCGAGCTATGTACGTCGTGTAAATCTTGTTCTCGGTCTAATAACCTAACGTCAAAAAGGGCAATGCCCCAAGGCGACGGAAGAACACCCTCAGTGAAATTTAGTAGAAGGCTAAGTATCATTTTTATGGTAGTCATTCTCAACTTTCACAAAGTTAATTGAAAATTAATTGTAGATAATCTTCATTAGGGAAATGACTCTTTAAATTATTAAATAAAATTAAACTCAAGAGATTTGATTAACATGGTCAATCCGGTACTACTGACAGTACTGGCTACCTCATTTTTTAAGAGAGCACAATTATTGAAAATTCTATTTATTTAATTTTTTGATACTGTTGCGGTGACTGCTTTGCGAACATAACGATTTACCTAAAACAAAGGTACTTAGAAAAACACATTTGCTTTGACGAATAATGAGCATAAAATGAACTATTTTTAAAAGAAGCGCGTCCCTTGGGCGATGCTTTACATTACTAAGGCCGTTGTTATATGAAAAATTAACCAATAAATCCTGCACCTTTCCGGAAATTGAATTTTGATTAACTTAACTTTTAAAATCGGACCTGTTGATATTATTATTAAGTTTATAACTACTTGTGAGTATAATAGCATGCTGCAAAAATTAATGTATATAAACAATTTTGAAGCTCCGACGGATCTTAGCTTAGTTAAACTTCTCATCATATCCATTTTCGATTTTTTTTTCGTCATTGCTTGACGTATTGCAGGGGTGGGTTATAAAGCACTTTCTTATCGTAAAGATCTACATTAATTATGATAATGGCGATAACTATAGAGTCAATGTAGTTAAAATTTCGTAGGCGAAAAATTTTTATCAATAAACAATACCCTACCAGACTCAGCTGATGATGAAAACGATAATTCTTTTCTATGAAGATAGCCTAAAATTAAATGAGGTGCAATGGCCGAAGTATTTCCACGCAAAAAATAAGATGCATTAAATATTTATCAATATAATATATATCTAAAAGTAATAAAACCGTTGCCAGTCGAATTTGAGTCTGTGCAGCATCAGTTCGTGAAAAAAAAACACTTTTTTGATTTGTTCTTGACCTAGTGTAACAAATCATATGATTTTTATATAAAGGAATAGTCGGTAAACTAAACTACATAACAGCAGCAGAAGAGTTCGAAGCTTTATGCTAACAAGAGCTCAAGGTAGTTAAAGTAATTTTTACAAAACCTCAAAATTCCTCCTGCGTCGGTTTTTACTGAGTCAAACTTGCTGACGTTTCGCCAATCATCCTGTTGGCTTCTTCAGAGCTTGACTGAAACTGGCTCGTATTTTACTCTGTACCTGATTATATATTGTATGAGGGGGCGGTGCTAAATGAGGGCATAAACACCGCCTCGGATGACTGATTCCCATATTGGTGACAGATAAAGACCTGAGTCGCGGTTAAGATTGTTAGGTTGTCGATAGATTCTATAGACTCTCGGATCTTTCGTTGGTAGAAGAATTCATTACATGCAAGAATTTTAGTTTTATCCAATATGTCCGGATTCGTGATTGTGTTCGGCAACAGCTTATGAGTTTATTTGTCTTAGTCGTAAGGCTCTTTCGTGTTCTTTGAGCCTAGTTGATATTTTTTGTCCGGTCTCTCCAATGTATTCTTTGTCACATATGCTGTAGACTCCTGGCATCTCAAATGGAATTTTGTCTTTAACGGACCGAAAATGTTGAGAGAGTTTTGGACAAATGGTAGATCTGGTGTTGACTTTATACTTGTTTAAAACTTTTGATATGTGGTCAGTGATGTTTTGAATGTGAGGAAGGACCACAGTGGCAAGTGTAGGATTGCTTTGGGCTTTGGGAAATTATTAGAGAGAAGAGCAGAAATAGGGTGCTTTAATTCTGGGTTCAGTGACTCTGGCTGAGATAGTTTTACGGCTCTGTAAACGAGAGGGTTGATAACCGATGATTTTTGGGCCGGATGGTGAAGGGACCATGCATTAATGTATCGGCCTGTGTGCGTAGGTTTTCTGTAAACGCAATGACCCAATGTTAGGTCTGATTTCTATTGATAAGAATATATAATAATGGAAGGTTATTATTAGTTTACAACTCAATGGTACAACGTATTTTAGTGAGTATAGAGTTTAAATGTCTAAGAAAATCTACTAGGGTTTCTTGACCATGGGGCCAAATAACAAAAGTATCATCGACGTAGCGTTTCCATAATTTTGATTTTAGATGAAAGGTGTCGAGAGCTTTCCTCTCGAAGGCTTCCATAAATATATTCGCGATGATTGGTGATAGTGGAGAACTCATAGCTGTTCACGACATTTATTCAAAAGTTTGACTGTTATAAGAAAAATATGTTCCAGACAAGTATTTTTCGATTGAGGTGAGAAGGTTTGGTTCCAGATTCTCGGATTTTAATATATCTAAAATGATGTTGAGAGGTACAGGAATAGGAAATTTGGTAAAGAGGGATTCTACGTCTAAACTAACTAAAATATCTTGTGTATCTAATGTAATGCTTTTTAATTGTTCAATGAAGTGATAGGAATTAATTACGAAAGTATGAGTTTTCGCTGTATAGGGTTTTAATAAGGAAGCTAGATATTTTGCTAGAGAATATGTTGGAGATGGCAGTTTGTTCAGGAAAGACTCGACGCTTGAAATGATTTCCTCTTTTGGGATAATACGTGTGGTAAGGACGAAGTTGAAACCTTTTGAAAGAATTAATTTTTCAGTTTCCGAAAGTTGCTGCGATGATACATTTATTACAGTGTTTGGTAGTTGAGAAGAGTTTGATGGTTTTCCTAGTGTTGATGTTAGTTTTTCAAATTTCAGCAGGAAAAGTAGGTTAGGAAGATAAACAAATTATTTACAGAATGTGCGCTGTGAAATTAAAAACAATATACGTTGAGTATGTATTAAAATTTCGTTAGCCAATATATTCGAGCGTTTTGCATGATTTTCATGTAAAAGAACCCGTTAATATTGTTATCTGGTTATTAAATAATACTATTAATACGATATTTAAATCTTAGTTTGGCTTTAATTCGAAAATACCAAACTTACCAAAAAAACTCCTTTTTTAGAAAAGCATTGATGTTCTAATGAAAACTTCTGATGGACTCAATACCTATAAATTTTTGCAGTTGTTTGTTGCTGTAATTGGCTGTAGGCTTGTGGGATATTCCTCAAACGTCTTTCTTGAACGTATTTGCTTTATTAATACAAAAAAAAATGGATATGGGTTTCAAAACAATCGGTACTCAATAGATTCTCCTGGATGATCCAGAAGTATCAATTTTGAAAGTTACAAAAATCCTGTAGAAACGTTTAAGGCCGACATCATATCGATTCAAATCGCAAATAATACTCATTTATAAGTTAAAACTATAAACAAATAAGTAAGTACTATCACGAAATTTTCATTTTGTACGATCAATCACTAAAAAACGGGTCATAGGTATTACCATTATCATTACAACTTTTAGTTAGAAAGTTTAGAATCTTTATGGAATTTTTTTTTTCATATGTTACATCTTAGTCGCCGCGCATAATCATCTTTCCGATGAAGTTCTTGACACAATTAAACATCGAGAAACAATGACACACAACAATATAAATAAATAAATACAAAATCACAGAAATCTCGCATCCCCAACGAAAAATTTTATTGCAATCCGTCAAATTCAAAACTTTCATTTCCCGAGCTCCTCTTGGATCTCCTCAAACGACTTATTCTTCGTTTCCGGCATGACGAAGAGAATGAAGAACACACCGGACGCCGACACGATAGTGAAAATGAAAAAGGTGGTGTAGGCTCCGGCCGACTCCGCGACACCGCCATAACCGACCGTCACCAAAAACGCCAGGAACCAATTGAAGGTTCCGGCTGCAGCTCCCATCTTCGCTTTAATGGCGGGAGGGAAGATTTCGGAAGACGCGAGCCATGGTATGGGTCCCATGCCGATAGAGAAGGCGATTATGAACACGATTAGCGAGATTAACGGCAACCAACCCAAACTGGTGACCGTCTCAGACGACGCGAGTCCCCTCTCGCTCACCAAGAAGTAAATGGCGAGCAGAAACGTCGCGAGAGCCATTAGACCGTCGGACAGCATTAGCAGGATTTTCCTTCCTAATTTATCGATCGACCAGCTGGAAAATAGAGTGGCACAAATTTGGACTGCGCCGATGATGATCGTGCAAATCTTCGGCTCGATGGTCGACTTGGCGGCGATGAAAATTTTCTGCGAATAAAACATGACGGCGTTGATGCCGCTGAACTGCTGATAGAACATCAGCATAAAGCAGATGAGGGACGCCCTTTTGCCCTGTTTCGTCTTAAGCTGCGTCCAGAATTCACTCTTCAACGCTTCCTGCTTGTCAATCTCCGCCTGGATCTCATTTATTTCGGCGCTGGGGTCGTATTGTTTGCCGCGCAGTTTTTCGAACACCTTCATCGCCTTCTCTCGTTTGCCTTTCTTCATCAGGTAGACGGGCGTTTCGGGCTGGGTCGCGTAGAGAACGGCGAATATGATCGGCACGATTCCGCACAGGTAGCATAAGGCTTTCACGCTGACTGCGTAGCCGAATACCTGAGCGTACAGAATCCCTATCGTGATAAACAGCTGAAGGAATGTGCCTGAAATCGACAATAGCTCGTCTTAGTTCTCGTCTTGAGACAATGGACCTTTTTGAATTTTAAATGTTGGTTATACCGACTGTCCCACTAGATATGGCGTTAAGGAAACGGAGGCGTGTAAACTCTTGGCTATTTGAGAACGAACATAAGTTCGAATATGGATATTATTTATTTCGCGCCGTTTCTTATTGTGTGTATTTTATCATTCATTTTCAAGATGCTTCGTGGTTACATTGTTTGAACAAAGGTATACTTAGTCAAAAGAATGAACAATCTCAATTTCATCATAGGTGTGTCTCTTTCTTCTTCATAGTTTATTTCATCGAGTACCTTAGATCGTCAGAAATATTGTAATGAAAAACGATTTGATTTAAATTTCAGGTTAAATTAAAGTTCTACATCTGTATCGAGAGTTCATTTTTCGATTGTTGTACAGGGTATTTCGCTTACTAGCAAATATACTTTTTGAGAAACAAAATACGCCGCAAACAGAATTTTCGTAGCTTTTTGATTTTTGAGGTAGGGGATGTTTATGAAAGTTTTGCATTTTGGGACATCCCTCGAGTCGCTGTTATTCCAAAGATTATTAAATAAGTTAAAAGTGGGTTTGCTTAGGTTTTTTGGGCAGAATTCATTGACTTTTTCCATTGTCAATTATTTTTGATAAATAAACCAAACTTTTTTTTTTAATATCTACTTTTTAATTTTTTTAAATTTTAAATTTTATTTATATATTTTCAAACAACCATGACGAACTAACGTCACAATTTACAAAGACACACTAAGAATAGTTGATTACATATATTTTAAGTCTAAAAAGTAAATAAAAATATTTATCAATCCAAAAAAAAGAAAGAAAGCAAAAATAAAGTAAATTAAGTTTGAGCAAAAAATGCATATTGTTTGATTCTTAAACGAATTGGCAAAAATATTTTTCTACTCCCGTCTGTAAAATACCTAATTACCCACCGATCTAGCGTGCGGGAAGCGTCATTTTACCACGTCAGTTTCGTTTCAGATGAATCCGAGCCACTTCGGAGATTTCCGGGATTTATCGTACGGATTTGGGAGCACTCGGATGTTTTGAAGATATTTCCCACGTTTTGAGTTTTGACGTTTGTCAAGTCTGACGATCATGTCAGTGAATGTATTCGTGTTGTTTTACGAAAATGTACCCAAAAACTAACGGTCCTAGAAAAAGTATAGTATGCAACACGTTCGGTAAACTTTTTAACTCACTCGTTTATTAAAAACTCGCTCAAATGCCGTTTACCGCACTTGTTGCATAATACACTATTATGTGCAAAAAGTAACTGTTATAATTACCATCCTAGCATTAAACGATAATTTTTCCAACAGTTTTGGAGAGTCTCTCTGTTACTAACATATTAATGCAAAAAAATCCCACTGTATACTATTCGCTTAAAAGATAGTTTCAACGCATGATAAAAGTCAATGCTTGCTTCATACACCTACTAGATTGCGGTTATATGAAAAAAGAAACTTTTTTCAAATTCTATTTACATACTTAAGATGTTGAGGACTCCATATAACACTGGCAAATTCAAGATGGGACGGCATGTAGGAGTTGTAGAGTATGATCAGGGATTTGGGACGCTGAAATTCTTTGTTAACCCCACTATAATGAAGCCCAAGTTTTTATTCATGTTTTTCTTTCAATTTGAATTATCGAATATAAGAAATTTTCAAAACTATTTTCGGAATTTTAATTTAATTGTAAAAAAGTCTAACGCTTCATCTACATTTTAGTTTCGATCGTTCAAAGTTTCCAAATTTTGACTGCCATAGCTGCTTCTGATATTTTAATTATAATTTGTAACACAAATTACAGAAACACAAACCATAGTGTTCTGATTCAGACTCAAGAATTTCTGAATATGTCAGGACTGTGTTATTTTGTTTTCAAAATCACCTGTTACGACCAATTAACACAAGCGATTATTTTTTTGAAAACTTAAACATTGGCTAAATATTCAAAACAACCAAAGAGTTTTAACCGAGATATAGGGAGTGTCCCAAACTGCAAAGCTTCCAAAAATTCTGTTTGCGGCATAATGTCGCGACAACCGCATCCCTCTATTTTTTCAAATAAGAGAAATACACCCGGTACGGAGTGTTTAAAGAAAAACCAGTTTCATACTTAATGTTAGTGACATTCTGTGGGAATTTTCTTCAACAATATTGTATATGCAGCATCTTGTTTTTTATTGACGTGTCAGTTATTAAAAGAAAGACAATAGGTTTATCAGAATACAGAAGAGTTTTATAATGTCAGACCACATGACTGCAATTATTTAAACAAAGTGGATATTGACCCTGTACTAGCCTCTGCGCAGTAAAGACCTTTACCTAATTGAACATTTATGGAATCAACCTGCACCTGTCTGCTTAGATGATGTAGCAAACATTATGAGGGAAACATGAACTAATATCCATCAAGCACAAATTAAAAGCATGATTTAATGTCAATCGTTTTATTGATTTTATGTATATAATTTTGATTTTTTAAATAATGAACTGGAATTGCTATGTTTGATATTAAGTGAGGAAAAGACGTGATTAAAAAAACTCAATGCTGACAAAGAATTGGGTTGTGCATTGTTGACGGAAAATCCCACATAATATGACAAACATTGGTTATAAAAATTGTTTTTTCTTAAAACACTCTGCACATGAATAAAATATAAATTGTATTATATAATATTAAAATTAGTAAATATTTACATCTAAAATGAAATTTGAAGCTGACCCAAATTTTAGTAGTGCGTTACTTGCTATGCGAAGTGTATTTGAAATGAGAAAGTGTTCGAAAACCCATCATTTCCTTCAAATCTTTTCTTAAAAATCTAAAAGACATTATTCTTGTGCTTTAAGACAAATAAAGTTCATAAATAAAATAAAGTCATAAGTATATATTTCCTATATAAATTATGAAAAGAAAATTCCAGGTTCTGACTCTAGTGACGGGCTATAAAAGTGTTTGCTAAATCAGAGGATCTAGCATATCGTTGAAGATAAGGCTAGTTTATAAAATCGCCATTTTTTTCGATTTACCCTCGTAGTTACAAAACCACATTATTTAAAGTCAGCAAACGGCATCATAGTATCTTCAATCATAACGAAGTTTTCCATAGGAAAACTTCGCAAAATGGGCCACCCGGTACACGTTACGAAAATATTTGTTATTTGAAATATGTTATATAAAATTTTAGAAAAAGATTACCCACCTAACGTTCCTCGAATCGCCGTCTCTGCGATTTCGCTGGTGTATAACGGCGCCATGATGCAGAAAGATCCTCCCGCCATACCGGTAAAGAACCGTCCAGCGTAAATCATTTCAGCGCTCGCGGAAAATATTATCAACGCCCAGCCCAAGACGAACGGTATCGTGGTCAAAAGAATCGTGAACTTCCTGCCGATCAGGTCGGCCAATATACCAATGGGGATACATACCACTACGGCACCAATGGGCATAATCGATCCTATCCAGTTCAGGCTCGCTGTTGTTATATCATTTAGAGCCCCTTCCTCCAGTTCTTAAAATAATATAACATTTTATTTTGGCTAGATTTCCAGAAAGACTATTATATTACATTTTCACAATTTGAGAACTATGATGTTCAACACAGTAAAGTGGTCTACATAAAACTATTGCATGAGACCATCTTAAACTATAGAAAGTTAGTTCTGCAAAAAATTCAAATATAGCTGTTGATTTGAACAAAATAATAGGGAAATAAAATTAATTGGAAACAGCTTAAGATATGTATAAGCAGGTGTTATACAAAAATAACAACATGATATTGCAACGGAAAATGAAATATTATGCAGTATTTAAAATATCAAATGTGGTGCTACCTTTTCGAAGAATTTTTACTGTACACCAAGAACATGAATATAGTGACATGAAAATACTCAGATACCATTGAAAATGTAAATTTGTATCTCTATTATTTCTATGCCTGCTTTACGTAACATAATAATAATAAATGATGGTACCTACATTAACAAAATTAACGGAAAATAAACTAGCGAAAATTCAAGGTTTGTTTATAAACCAGATAAAATTAGCGGCACAGCGAAAAGCAGCATACTTAATATAAACAGTGCTAAATAGAATAAAGAGCTCATAGCAGGAGCTTATTCGTAAAGCTACCTAATTACTTAATTGAAACATGTGTCGGGTCTGCAGCAAAATCCATTGTAATTTTTTCGTGGACGAAATTTTAGATTTTTTATGTCATAAATTTGTTTACTAATGTTACTAATGTTGAAGTGTGTTTTCTAAATCTTCTGAATTTTATGATGAGAAATGGATTTATGAAATTTAATAATTTTTAATTGCGTAATCGCAATATTAACAAAAATATCCATTTAGTAATTTATAATAAAACATTGGTTAATAGGCTAAAACAAGTGCGGGGTAATTGGTTGTTTAAATTAAAAGGTAGTTTGTTTTATAAATTATTGGTCACAAGGCAACCATTAGGGAGACATCGCGCTACAAATACGGCGGAAAAATACTGTTTTTAATTTTTTTATCTTCAAAACGAAAATAGCAAGAACCATAGAATATTAAAAAAGTATGATTCTTGTAAAAGCACACTTCCTGCATATTTTTATGCTAAACAAATTGGGGTGAGGAGATCTACGATTAGGGTACGCTTTTTGTACAAAAACGACAAACTGCCAAGGAATTTCCGTTTTCATGGTCATATATAAAATGCATATCTGCCATTTCTGCATTAGTCTATAATATAATAATAAATGCGAAATAAAGCATTATTAAGAGACGCCTTAAGGAGTGACAGCAACCCACTACAATATTTCATCTAATAAATTTTTTTACCTTTTTACAAAGTGCTTTAGATTTTAATTTTTCAAAGAAATTTCCACAGGCTACTGTAATACTTTTTACAAAACTTCAAGTTCGACAGACGCAGGACGAACCAAGAAGTTTTGTAAAAAGTATTGCTTTAGATTCTAATTGTTAATTTGCAAACAGTAAATATTATGAAAGAATTATTGCAGAAGAAAACAGTTTCTAAATAAAACATGTATTTTTTAAGGCATTTCATAAGTTTTTCCTAAAATTTAATTAAGAAAAATGATAGGGTTAGTCGAATTCAATACATATCACTAATTTAAAAAAATTAAAAAATGTAGAAAGTGGGGGAAATGTAACGTACACAAATATCATTAAAAATTGAAGCTTGTTTCTGTATTTCTCTTCCCGCTTTATATAACTTACAATAATAATAAATGTTAATCCTTAATCCTTAATATCGAAAATAAACTAGTAAAAATTCAACAAGGTTTGTTTATAAACCCGATCTTGAGTGAAACATCACGACACAACAAACAACAGCATACCTTAATGTAACCAGAGGTAAATGGAATAAAAAGTTCACCGCAAAAGCTTACTTGTAAAGCTGCCTAATTGCCTAATTGAAACATGTGTCGGCTCTGTAGTAAAGTTCATTTTATTTCTTTCGCGGACGAAATTTTAGAATGTTTTGTATTATTTTTATTAAACTACGTGAATAGTACAATTAAAATTTTATTTATCAATTTTTGACAGTTGTTTTTCTCTTATATCTTTGATTAATCGCAAAGTTTAAGCTCAATTTATAAGCTATATATAAAAAAAGTGAAATTCATTTTTTTTTAAAGGGTGAACCAAAAATATTTTAATTTTTAGAAATCGAAAGTATGCCTTTGGAGCAATATTGTGTATTTGTATTTCAATATGGGGAAATTATGGGATTATAGAAAATAAATAGTTTTTGAGAAATACATATCTCCGTCCACAAGTGACGAGTTATACGGTGTAAAATATCTATTTCAATTTCGCATTTTTTATTTCAAACTTCAAAATTGTCTAAAGATTTTGAATTAATTTCTTTGTAGAGGGCGCCATATACAGAATTTTTTTAAAGGAATTAACATTGCTAAAATATATTTTGTGCTATCCTACATGTAAGTAATTAAAGAATTTTATTATTCTTGATTTTTGAAATATTTTAGTTCTATCAATATTTACTTAAAAAAAATGATCTTGCAAATAAACTGCTAATATAAACTATTTTATTTAACTATAAGGTAAAAATGAGTTGGTAACTAATACTTAATTTATTTAAAATCATAGAAAAAAAATTGCTTGATATCAAGATACCGAAAATCCGTTCAAAATCGGGTGAGAAAATTTTGCATACTTTTGAATTGCAGTAAAGTAAACCTCTACGTAAAAATTTTGGTTCACGCATTACAAAAAATGTTGGGTTTTTATTTGACGTCAAGAAGTACGGCCCATTTTTTTTTAATCGGCTGAAAGTCATTTTGTGGGAGAAAAGGAAGCAGTCATTTGGCAAGTTAATTTAAATTTATTAGACCCACCGTTAATCACCCTATAATTTGTAAATGCTTATCACGCTGCAACTTCCCAAATTATTCTACAATGTTATAACTTTTATTGATGAGAATTATAAAACTTTTTGTATGTTTGTAAAGTATCTTGTATATTTCTTCTCATAATCTCGCTCGTTATTAAAAATTGTATCAGATTGCAAAATCATCCTCCAAGTTAAACTCGTACGCTTTCGGACTGCAACAAGCGTTCGAAGTTAAGCGGACCATTATGGAATATTCATTAAATGTGTTCGCAAAGATGGTCTCGAATTAATTCTGAATGTTAAAATTCCGTGTAAATCAGGAACTAGCATGCAGCGTAAACAAATTCGAGCTAACTAACTAACTTCTTTATTATTGATGCCTCGAGATGGGTTAAGTTAGTGAAGTTGTTTAGTTTTTTTTGCTGATTAAAATTGTTGTTATCAAAAAAATTGTACTTCGTTTTTTAGATTTTTTTTCTCTATTTACCTCTGCAAATCTTGTTATGGTAATGTACTTTTTCAGAGTTTTTTATTGTTTTTTGCCATTTTGTGCTGTCGCTGATATTTCGAAATCTTCAATATTTTCAAACAGAAAACCTTATACAAGATACCTAATCAAGTTAATGCTAAATACGTAAAAGTTATCAAAATGCATGTTTCTAATTGAGAATATGATTTTCTATATTTAAATTTCTATTGTTAGTTTTTGAAATGTCAACACAAGACTAATAAAGTCGAAGCCCTTATATAGAAAACCAATAAGGGCTTTCACTAGAAAAAAGCGGTGGACATTTATTTAAACCTACAAACGTGAATTTTTGACAAAAAATTAAAAATATCTCAGAAACGGTAAGGTATAAGATAATAAATATGAAATATGTCTAGAAAGCTCCGAGGAATGCCTTAATGTAAGTGACGATTTATTTTTTGGCTAATTCTGGCACTAATGTAAAAAATAACTATAACATGTTATATATTATTTTTTTATGACTTCTGAATTCTTCCTGTGTCAGTTCTTGGTTAGTTTTGGTTAGTCAGTCAAGCTCTAAAAAAAGTCAACAGGATGATTGGCGAAACGTTATCTAGTTCGACTCAACATAAACCGACGCAGGAGGAATCCAGAAGTTTTATAAAAAATATTACACTAGCCTGTGGAAGTCTCGTTGGAAAATGTTATATATTTTTGGAATGGGCATTAAAGGACCTTCAAAGATTAAAAATTAAGGTGAGTTTCTATAAAGTTGTGTATTCTGGAATTTTTTAGTTTGCGGTTTAATTGGCAATTTAACGCAATAGTTTATACAATGCTATTTTCTTCAATTAACGAAAAGAAGATAGTATCTGCAACGTCAGTTTGATATACAATATAATTTTTTTAATATACAGATATCAGCAAGTAGCTGCATCATCAAAACCAAGGACAAAGAAAAGGTGTAGTACAAAATGAAAAAGAACAGCATAAAATCTAGCGATAAAACTAATCAATAATTAAAAAAAATAAAATTAAGATGAGTGTACCAAAGAACATGAACAAACATACATACAGAAACTACTAATAAAACAAAAATAACAAATCAAATAAAAAATGCAAACGTATAAGACCAATCTTCATAAACGCTTCAAACTCTTCGAGTTTGTAGAATATATCGCTAAAAAGTAATTCCTTCAAATTTAACTACTTGTTGATTCTCGCAGTTTTAATTAATTTGGTAGTAGGATAACTACGTAAGTAGCAAAATAAAAAGGAGATTTCTAGTGACGATCGCGTATTGATTCTAGTTAACTTTCGTTTTTAAAAGTGAAAGTGGTTTTTATATAAGAACTGAAGCAACAGTTAAAATTATTTGTTTTCAAAATTCCTTAATGGCCTTATTAGAAACGAGTCTTTTACAGAGACTATCGGTATGCTCTATCCAGCATAAATTCTTGTTAATGTTAACACGCAGAAAATTAGCAAAATCCAACGTTTCACGAAAATGTCCCTCAAAATCAAACACAAATCCGTTTGGACCCCTATACCTATTTTATACTTCAACCACATGTGTTTTTAAGTGATTCAAAAATTATTTATTAGCTTTACAATTTGTAGATCTTTAATTACAACACCATAATACTGATATTACTGCTGCTGCTATTATCGCAATAAACAAACAACCTTGCAGCTTTTACAAAATCTGACAAGTCGTTGTTAAATATTGTACATATTAGAGGGGCCAAAACAGTCCTTTGAGGAGTTCCTATTGATTAATGTAATTTGTACTTGCCACTGCTACAAATTTATGATCTACAGTATCGAAGTCAGGCGTAAGTTTAAAAAGTAGCACCACAGCATATTCGTTTTTGTCAATAAAATTAAAAACGTGCTGTGTTAGGTCAACAATAGCACTATATATCGAATAGCCGCTTCTAAATCCGCGCTGAGACATACAGAGAATGTTATTTTCATTTAAAAAACTCGTTGTACATTCATTGATTAATTTTTCGAATATTTTATGCTTGAGGGAATATGCCCTTTTCAATTGAGCTAACGTTTGATACCATGTAATATAATACGGCTGTTAAGTTTTGTTATAGGCAAAGTAGACAATCGGGCAGCACCACCATTAACTAATCTGATTTTTTCCATTGAAACCAGCAAATATTCAAAAATTGAAAGATTGGATACAAAAGTATCACTTTAACCACAAGAGAGTATCAGAGAAATCAGATAAAACAAATTTTTCGAAGAATTGAACCTGTTTTAATATATGAGGGACAAGATGTTACAAAAGCAGGAATATAAATTATTCCACAACATGTGTAACTATTGTATTCATATTACCAATTTCAACATAACTAATAATAAAATTTTAAAACTTCAAGTTGCACATGACCATCATCTCAGCGACACAAGCTGTATATAATATTTCTAGTTTTCTGACTGACTGACTCTGATTGCAAAATTGAACAGCCGTATTATGACATTGTTACAATAGGGAAATGTTAAATTGTTAATTAATTCGGAAACTATAAATTTCCGGAATGGATCACCTGATACACAGTCGCCACAATTTAATAGGAGGTTTTATTCGTTTTTTATAATTTTATTTCTGTACTTCATTTTTACTCACCTTGTATTAATTTATATCCAAAATATCCACGTAATATGACAATGACTTTTCCACTTTCCCCCCTTTTTGCAAAAGTAATCTATCCAAAATTAAATAATTAAGACTTAGGACATTATACATAAAATATATCTAGAATTTCCATACGAATCCAAAAAAAAAATCAAACAACTATGTGAAACTATGGAACTTTGTTATTCAATTTTTTTCTGTGGTTAGTAGTTAATGATTTAAGAACTTATAATGAACCTTATTTGGGAAACTTTATACACTACCATTATAAGTAGGGGCAATAATTTCAATACACGATATTCTGGTTTAAATAGAAAAAGTTCGTCAGTCGTTTAAAATAATGCAATTTTCGAAATTATAATTATAATATAATAATAATAGTAATAATAATAATAATAATAATAATTAGCGCCTGGGTATTAGAAAATCACCTATAATGTATTCAAAAATACGTACCTTTGTTTATATTCGCGGTCCAGCCGATGACGGTGCCCGTGCCCATAGCGCCGATGCAAATAAACACTGCGGCCAAAAATTGGGGCAATCTCTTCGCCTTTCCGCTGTCGTCCATCTTCCAGTGATTGCTCTCCTAATCCGCTTTATATCCGAAAACAATTTTCGCGTAAGCGCAACACAAAAATAGTAAAAAATCGCCAGTTACTTTCGGAGTACTGTCGTTACATGACATTAACAAGACAAACCTGTCCGTTGTCGATGTTAATGATATATCCATAGAAATAAAAAATAATTGTTAAAAACCCAACTAGCCGCACGGGAATTTTAATGACTCCGAAGGAACGATCGTTTCGGTAGCTGAGGAATACGGGTGTTTCCGTCTAGCGTCATTCAATTTCTGGGCGAGATTCTCCAGTGAGAAATAATTCCGATAATTTGATGTGTGAGTGCGTACAGAGTGAATTGTCTACGATAAATATTTGGTCCTTTATATGAGCGACGATTTTTCATCGCTTTCAATAAAACTTTTAATGACGCGACGTTGCCGCTTCACCGGAAAAATATTTCGATTTTTTAAACGAAACTACAAATGTGAAGTGTATTTTCAAAGAGTGCAATTTGCTAATTTTGTTGACATAATCGTTTGACTCTTAAGTTTCGAACTCTACAGTCGAACAACTAATCAAATAAATTCTATTTCATTTCAAAGGCTTAGAGTAATAGAAATCTCATTATGGATGTGAAGAGTGATCCAACGAATACTTAAATTACTTTCACTATTGATTGAATTATGAAAGTCTCTTTTTTTATTGAAGGTAGTACCACCTGGGTTTGGGCCAACTTATAGGTTTTGCCTATTGTTACCCATTAATCAACACTCAAAATAGTCTGCCCACGGCGTCCCCTTAAAGGACAGAATTTTAGTTTAACAGAGAAACATTATTCTCGAATTATTTTAAATATTAGAAATAATTTTTCTAAAAAATTGACTACATTTTAGCTAGAAAACCGGAATTTTGGTAGCGGCTTACCAATAGGCTACTGAGACATGGAATTAAGTTGTTATATTCGGGGTGATATTAAATAATGCACCTTCGGCAAAATATACCATACCAACCTATTTTGAATAAAAAATAGTAATAATACAATTTAGGGAAATATAAATAGTATTGATGCAAAAAGAAAGGGGAAGGGCTTCCTATATGCATATTTTGGCAACAATTTACAATACTATTTATAAATCTCCTGGTTGTTGAGGAATCGAAATTGCTGACGTTTCGCCAATCCTCCTGTTGGTTTCGTCGGAGCTTAACTTAAACTGGATCGCATTCTACGGGAGCGGGACATGAACATTGGATGATTGATTTCCATATTGGAAAAGACTTGGGTCGCGAAATTGTTGGATTTTCGTCGATTAGTTCGTTTTTAGATAATTCATTATTCAAAATGCTTCAGGTTTCAGAAGTAAGCTCCCATGAACGCAACTCAATTTTTAAATACCTACCTAGTTTCGCTCTCCCTTTTCTTCTAATATCAAATTTGGGAATCATGTATAACATTATTGAGTGAAAAATAGATTACTCTTTTATTCCCAACTAAAAAACAATATACTCTTATTTCGATGGCTTAAGAAAATTTTAACCAAGCAGTGACAAAACCATTTTTATGCCCTTGGATTGCTACTCCGATTCGCTGTCGTACTTTAATTAACTTAATATTGATATAAATCGTAGCATCTATAAAACTACATTAGCTGTAGTCTATGTCAAAAAACTGGAGAGTATTTTCTAAAGTACAGGCAACAGAAAAATACTCGAACATATATCCATATTTTCATACAGACTTTTAATGAATTTAGTGTCGTTAAGAAGGGTTTTTCTTGGGGTATCAGTCATGTTATGAGTGACGCGATTGCAATTTAATTATACTATTCTAAAATATGAATATAACAGCGCTAAAAAAACATATTTGTGTGAATTTGTTATATGGAATAGTCCTTCCTTTATAAAAAAATGTTCAAATTGAATATTTTGGTGATTAACTACTCAATAATTTCAAATATTCCAAATCTAACATTTTGAATTTTTAAAATAATTTCTACTTTGTCTTTTAATAAGTGATAATTGCTTACTTCATATGTAGATTCAAAATTATTCTGTTATGTTTAATATGAATGCACTATCTTTCTCAAATCATTTTGTCGCGAAAATCATCCGACAAATTAACAAAACGGGAAAGCATTTACCCAAATTAAGACGAACTAATCTGGTAACATCACATAAGGGTCCAAAGTTAAATTCTGAAATTAAGTATTCCATTAAATTTATCCTGTTTAGGTGCATAATTGATGCCCTCCACTTTACTAAACAAAAATTACAATTCCGAAGCGATTTAATTCGGGGCGCGGAAGAAAAGTACAGATTAGGGCATTAAAAGGGCTCAGATAAATTGCCAACAATTTATTTAAAAGGTTTTTCTCAAAAATTGTAAAGCGCAACTTGCTCCGTAATCCGCATAATTGTAATTCAAACTTTTTTCATTTGCCAAGAGTTAGAGAGAGAGAGAGAGAGAGAGAGAGAGAGAGAGAGAGAGAGAGAGAGAGAGAGAGAGCAAGAAAACACTGCTACTCGACGATATTCCAATTAATTATAAAAATAATAAGGGAAACTATAACGTTGTAAAAGATTTTCCTTTGCCTTCTTTCTTCTTTCTTTTTTGTTTCTTTTTTCCGCAGTTACTTGTAAAATTGGAAACAAATTGTTAAAACATCTTTCAGAAGTTGGGCGGGCATCATCAGGAGTTAATTTTGGAGCCACTCTCGGTTGGTTGGGTTAGGGTGTATTAAGTAAGATTCCAGCTTCGCAGATAGTATTCTTCTGAAGCTCACAAACTTTGATATACAAACTAAACTTGTGATTTTTTAATTGGAACTGTAATTTTTCTAATAATTTTGCTAATCTAATCATGAGTTTTTGAAAGATATGTGATAGGAGGTATTTAGAATGCAAAAAATTTTTTTCTAATAGATTGGCATTTATATACAGAAATTTGTATTTGCGTTGACCTATTCGTAAACAAATGAAAAAGGCACATCCGTTGTACTGGAAATAGATTTAATATTATCTAATTTTGGAAAGCTAAAAAAAAAACTAAAATATAAAACCTTGTATAAAATTATTTAAATATAAATTATTTAAATATATACAGGGCGTTACATAAAAAAAACACACAAATTTAGTTGATCTAAATTCAATAAGCCACTGGATCCTACAACAGGTATATCCGATCAATAAAATGCGTCTAAATAAGCAAAATTTTCGGAACTATCATGTATCCAAAAATCTAAAATAGCTATGCGAATTCTGTTTGTGGAACATTTCATTTTGTGAAAAAGCTGCCTTGGCGCACGAAAGCCGTATTATGCTGCTGTAATGATAAACGAGATGCCGTAAAACTATCAAAAATGGGGCACACTGAATGTTCTGAATGTTTTCTGTCCTTTTCATTATAATGATTGTGGTGTACACACTTAAAAATACATGTTACGAATACCCAGACATTGCTTTTTACTTCAGACTTAGCAGAGAATTGGTTACTAAAATATTTAAATTTTGATGTAGGCGGACACTCATTAATTTTTGGCAAAATGAAATTTGGGTATGTTGTTGGACACTAAGTGCACGAAGATTCAACGATCATATTGCTAGGTAATATAAAAAATATACTTTACGGTTAAAACCTTATATTCCAATGAATACTTGCTATGCTAAGTTGTCTAACTCTTTTGCATATTTGTATTGCTTTGTTTCAAAATAACTGTTGTCATCATAATAAGGCGTAAGGCGTATTTGGCTTAATGTCATTATTTTCATGAATTTAATCGAATATTACTGTTTTTCGCATTTACTACGGACAAACCTGTATAATCAATACAGAGATTACTTTCCTTTAGTATGTTTCGTAGAAGTATAAAAGCAAAACTAGTAGAAGTATACATTCTCCTATATCGCCTTATTTCTTTATGTAATTTAATGTATATTTTTCCGATTGTGGTTTGTGCTTGTTAAATTCTCAGCAAGATCCATTTCATTATTATTGTGCGCGTTTGCCTACCGTCATCAACAATGCAAACTAGACGTGAAATGAGAAATGTGTGGTTAGCAATAAAACTAATGGTTAATATGTATAGATCGGAATTTCCATTGTGTACTCTCTGTGAATTCGCCCAATATTTTGGAATTTTGGTGGACATGCGATAGAACATACATACATACGCTGTTAAATATGTAGATGTTTCCTTTTAGCTAATGAAATATTTGATTAGTGAGTCAAACTTTCCCTATGTGTAGCAGCAAATTTTCTTGAATAAAATATCAGTTTTCTCTAACACTCTAAGAATAATAATAAAATGATGTTTCTTTTTCTTAATAGTATGCAACAATTACAGGACAATATATAAAAAACAATTCAATAGTGACATAAAAAATCTAAATAGTATAGGGTGATAACCAATGACAGATTAGACGATTAATGGTGATCGTTCTGAAAATTTAATCGCGAGGACGATCTATAGAACGTCATATGTTCAGCGATGCGACGTTGTCGGTTCTTTGATATTTTAAATAGGACACTGTATATTATTTGATTTCCCGTTCATTTCTTCAGCGGATTTCGGCAAATTAATTATTTGGCGTTATATGAATTAGTAGAGGGCTGAAAGTTATTCAATAGTACATGAAGGTTTCATGCGTGAAAACAAAACAACGCCATGTATTATATAAAGAGTGCGCGAAAATGAAAAATGGCGTGTGCAAATATTTTCCCAAATTATTAATAAGTTGATCCACCTTTTCGAGTTCCCCGTGTATAGTGGCAAATTAAACATGGAAATTTAATAAAAATAAAAAGATAATCGCGTAAGTGATTTGATTTATTGACATTTATTAAGTACCTATATCATTTAAATTGTACACTAATATATATACACAAATTTAGCGTGCGGAAAGCGTCACGTTACCATGTAACATTTCTGGGATAAAGCATAAAGCGGATGTTTTAGCGCATGGCTTGAATTTAGACGTTTGTCAATTCTGACAGTCATCTCAGTGAACGTATTCGTGTTGTTTTGCAAAATTGTACCAAAAATCTAACGGTCGTAGAAAAAGTATAGTACGCAAGTCAGTCGTTTATTAAACACTTGCTCCGCTGGTCTCCGCTCGTGCCAAATAAATTCGTGACTCAAATGCCGTTTA